TTCTCGCTCCCGGCGGAGTTAGTCACGTCTAGTCACCTCCTGCCAGTCCGGGGTGTCTTCCTTTAGTCGCTTTCTTTCTCCTCTCGCCTCGCGCCTGACTTCGCATCTCCGGGCGGCCGAGTTGCCGTTCCTGTTATTCTTATTTCCGCGCTGACTCGACTCTCTCTCTCTCTCTCTCTCTCTCTCTCTCTCTCCCTCTCCCTCTCTCCTATCTCTATCCTCTTCCAATCTTGCTCCTGTTTCGTCTTTCCCTACGCTGCGCCTCGCTCCCTTCTGCCATCGTCGAAGTCTATTCCCATTCGCCGAGCGCGATAGCGCGCGGCAGCGCTGCCGGAACTGGTCCATCGGGGAAAGATTCTTCGGGTAGGCAGGTCGAATCGGAGAACCGCGACTTTAATCTCGCTGCCAGCGTACATTCCGGATTCCAACGACTCTTACCGTTGACGAGGTCTCTCTCTCTCTCTCTTTCTCTCTCTCCTCGCGAACCGTATCGAACGTCGAATGATAAAGATCCGACCGCGAAGGCTACGATTCGCATGTCCTTTCCTCGCGTTCTGAGATAAATAAATGTCCTCCGGCACCTGCTTCTTCAGCTTTCGACGCACAGTATTCCGACGCGTTGCATCACAAATTATTTTCGCCCGGAGTGCGTGATGCAACTTCTAGAAATACGCGTTTGCAGGTCGGTGCGTTCTATATTAATCGTCGAAAAATCAACGTCGCGTTGTTTAATCTTAAATAATTCGTAAACCTGCACTCAGATCAGATTAATTTTTACGGAAAAAGTAAAAGATAGAACAAAGCTTCCGCGAAAGGTTCTCAACGTGAAACGAGACGATCGTTCATTTGAGAATTACGAAACCGGTTTGGCGCCTTTCCGCGCTGCCGAGGGAGTTATTGAATCGTCGAATGTGCCGGTGCATTGTTAACCAGGCCGAATGGCAGTCCTTTGTCCCAGATGAGTACGTTTTACCCGCGCGACGGATCATTGGCACCGACGATGAATTCGAGAATTCCGGCCTGTATACTGCCGCCAAGACGGTCACTGACAAGTGCCCAAATTATCCTTCTCCCCCTCTCATATAATCATGGAATAATTTTAATTAGAAATGTATTTCTATTTGGAAAAAATTACAATTTTATTTTATATTATGAAAAAGTTTAAACAAAGTTAATATTGTCATAGTGAGTTTTTTTATTTAATTTGTCCACGTGATACTGCAACAAGTTAAGCTAGTCTGTTTTCTTGAAAATACAAACTTTTATTTCGGAAGGGTGAAGACGGCCCTGGCGCTGCAATCAGCTGGTCCAGTCCCAGCACTGTTGCCAGACGTATCCTTCCGCCGTCGGAGACTGTCCCATGCCTTTTTTTGCTTTATCCCGAGTCTTCTATATTCGCATCTACAGAAGTGCGTGCGCCGCACGCACGAACACGCTCGAGCGCGCTCGCACAAGCGCGCGGCGGTCGTGTACATAAATGGTCGTCGTATCCCGCCCCATCTTCCTCTTTATATATATCCCACTCGGCGAATTCTTCTGGCGAACGATTTTTGCGTGATTATCGTGAATTCTACTTAAGCTATTTATTTAGCTTTCAACACATTGTCATTTATCATCGCGTTATAAATGCATTTATAAATTTACGAATGACACGTACACGTTTGATATTGAAAGGCGTAATGCAATTGCTGATGGATGTACGGTCCATGATAAATTCGGTATCTGCTTTTCTGTATTGAGAGTCCGCAGCTGAGAAAGAATCTTGCGCCAGTCCTTACGGACTGCTCTTTCCACTTAAGACGAACGCGAAACAAACAATTTACGAATAAGAACGGATGAAAAAATTAGATGAAACGCACGCTCGTTCTAAATCTCCTGAGAAAATCCTTGGGAATCTAAAATTCTGATTTGGCATGATATTTGCAAAGAAAAAAGCGTTGTTTACGGCGGCGAGAGAAACTCTGTAGAAAGAGAAGTAGCGGCGCAACGGTCCTCGCAGAAGTTTCAAAGTGATTCTCATACCCTGTGTGTGTGTCAATGTGTGCGTGCATGCTTCTGACTTCCTGTGGGAGGATTATTGGCGTGAAATAAAGATTGCACTCCCCGCGCGTTGTGCGTGCGGGTAAGGAACGCGCGGTGCGTGGGATAAGAATGTGATACTTGCATACATCTCTATACTTATCTGTCCGCAGATTACGAATGAATTTTTTTTAAATTTATTCTTAAGCTTATCTCTGCATTATTATTTAAGTAAGTCAATGGTTTATTATTTATTAATATTATGTATTAAATGCTTTCCTGCGTCGAGTACAACTTCAAATACTTTTGCACGTAGGCGTAATCATTCTTAACCGAATTCACAGCTGTATTCTTTAATGTTCTTTAACGTCAGCTACACAGGCTTCCCTAATGAAATTTCGGCTAAGTTATTACGATAGTCCGTGTCGATTTGTGGGAGTTTCTAACTGCTTTCCGTGACACGATTCGCCCGTTTAATTCACCGCTAATGACTCCGCGACGGCGGAGCCGGGGCAAAACCCGTCCGACTTGCGGCCGCGTCTCTTTTTTCCCTATTTTCAGCACGTTACTTTCACGTGGAAGAAACTTTTAAGCCGTTTGCGTCCGTTTATGCAACGCCCCGTCGACTCTTCACGGTCGTGATACTCAGTAAACCGCCGCGCCGCGGTCTACGTGGAAGTAGTACAAAAGGAGCCCATCGGGTGTTTCAACGTTTTATGGAAAACATCACCGATGCTATTTATTTCCCACGAGGAAACACCGGACGCGCAGTCGCTTTGCTCCAAGATTACGTGAGAACGGAAAACCGATTTTCTTCTAACCGTCGCGTGTATATTCTTTTTCAAAGAAGCTCTCTCTCTCTCTCTCTCATTGAATGTAATGATAAAAGTTTTCGAGACTCGGGAATCCGCACAATTGTATCTTCCGGATCGGCAGCTTCACGAATACAGCGATACACAGCGATTGTACGATAGTTATGAATACTTTACGAGAAATTTATGTTTCTCCGATAAGAAATATCTTGAAAGAGGTCCTCGCTTCTTTAGGAATACTCCTTAGTTTATGACTGCGACGCAAATGTTTTATGAGTTGTTTATTACGCAACGCTTGGTCGCGAAACAGCCATAAAGCTTTGATATAATATTGGCTGATAATACGCTTAGGGCGCAACAGACTGCAGGTTGAATATGATACGACGGTGTGCAGCGATGAAGGTATTTTTCAGGCGTTTTACTGTGTTTGCTATCTTGATCGATTGTAGAAACACAAAGACATAGGCCGCTAGGTGAAATGGTTTGGCACTTTGTACAGGCACGTTATCAGCGTTTACAAATTCGGTTATACATAGGCTTTATTATTGTCTATGTGAAAATTGAATTTCGTAATATTACGTTTATGTTTATGACTTGTTGCAATTATTCTACCTAACTTATCGGAAAAACTAAGGTCTATAAGCAATTTCGCCCAAATAAATCTAAATTTTTATATTGTCTTTTCTGTTATTTTTAAAGTTATTATTTTATTGTTAAATATCTTGCAAACTGATGACGTACTCAGCGAATGTGAGAAGCAAAGACGATTATACCTGTAAAACTTTATGTTTAAGGTACACGACTGTTATAAATCACTGTGTAATATTACATACGATGAGATAGTTATTAAATTTTACGTTATTAAACGTTCTTGTTTCAAATGATATAAAAGTTAAATTATTAATAAATAAAGATGGAGATGAAAAATTAGAAGAAAAATTTTTATTAAATAAATTATTTGAAATATATTACTTGACAGTAAAACGCGAGATATAAACCATAAAGGAATTGAAATAAAAATATTTTAAAAGTTTGAGTAGATGTACTATTTAACATGAGAATTTATGACATAAAAATTAATCAAATAGAATTATTAAGTATACCTTCGTGGTATTCTCAATTAAGTTTCCTGAAAATATTTAATAAATTGACAATTATATTAATTCCAAGAAATATTTAAATATTTTTATTAATTCGTTCCAGCCTATCCATTTCAAGGTAATAGATCTGTATGAGATGTTACATTTATATTTTTGTGCTTTTAACTTGATCTATATACATAATATTTTATACGTATATGCATACATATGTATATAAATCTGATATAATTTTCACGATCTATTATCTTAACAAAATAAAAAATAATATCACTCAGATGCGATACGCAGCAGCGGAGTTGCAACTATGTTGAAACTATGTCGAATTATCAAACATTTATTGTACATAAATTATAATAATATATAGAATAATTTTAATATCTAGAGGGATAATTGTTGCTTGCACATAAAATAATTATAAATTATTATGCATGCAAGCAAGAAATGAAATAAAATAATGATTCACTCATTCCATGGTTGCTCCGTCGTCGTTCGATGCCTGCCAGGTTTCTTCTTTTCAGATTCATTATTGCACTTGTACACCACACTGCACAAGACCCGTGAAACATATTTAATTTACGATTGCGCGTACTAATTATTGGAATAAGATAACCGCGCGGCACTTTACAATTGTATGTCGCGGAATCGAAATCCCGTCGAAACAATCGTGAAAATAATGTAAAAAAATTCAAAGTCCTATGATCGGTTCAACATCCACGAGTTTTACAAATTAACAACGAACAAAATCAAATCAATTGGCGGGGAGTTTTAACAAATCACAAATAAAAAGAAATACTTTATAGCCATTTCTTATTCTTCCATTCTTTAGTGAAACGAATAAATCGCGCGATTTATTTACTTCGATAGACGGTGCTTCACACGCTTACATATACGTCATACGTGACGTCACGGCGTGGCGTCCGCGTCGTGTTACAAAGTCGCGTAAACAAGGTCGCCGGGCGTTATCATTCGCACAGTGAGACTCGAGCCGGCGCGGCGCGCGGCGTTAGTATCTCTCAATCCGTCACCGTGGCAAGTAACGGGACACATCAAATGCGATTATTTTCTACGAACAATTAGCCTGTCCATTAGCACGTACGCTTAATTAACTCTCACGATTAATAACTATAAATCTTGTGACTGCTTTTACGCAATTATTCCGCATGATTTCATTTTCGAACTTTTTGATCGGAAACAGAACGCGCCTCGCGTATATGAAACTTTTAATTAAGCATGATGGTGATACATTTAGCTAATAAATACTCTTGAAACTCAGCCCGTATTTTAATAATTATCGATTGCGTGGTACGTTTGTACATTTGCGATTTGATAAAACCATTTCTCGTGATTTCGAGACTTTATTATTGGTACGCTGTTGGAACGGATGATAGACGAGCGGCTAATAATCGCAAACTTTCTATCTTTTTCGCATTATTTTTCCATAGTAATGAACAATAATAGGATACGCGTTGCGTGCGATTAGTGTCGAGAGAGTATCAGGCAAAACGCCGTGATTATCCTATTCCAGTGATTTAGTACGGCGCGATTGTAATTAAATATCTTTCGCGAGTGTTGTGTTGTACGAATGTAACGATGAATCTGAGAGGAGGAGGCCTGGGAGGCATCGAGCAATGACGGAGCAATCATGAGGTAAATTATTAATTATAATTTTATTTCATTTATTGCATAACCATTTATAAATTATTTCATGTACGGGCAGCAATTATTGCTCTAGATATTAATTATTCTGTACTTTGCTATAATTTATGTATATTATGTATATTTCTGTTTGATAGTTCGACATAGTTTCAACATAATTGCAGCTCCGCCGCTGCGCATCATATCTGTGGGATATTATTTATTTTGTTAAGATATAGACCTCTGTGAAAATTACATATGTATTATAAATCAATTTAAAAGCATAAAATCTAAATAAATGTAATATATCTCATACAGATCTGTTATCTTGGAACAGATAAGCTCTAAAACAAATTATAGTATTAATATTTAATCTTGGATTTAATATCTATAACTGTCAATTTATAAAACATTTTCAGGAAACTTAATTGAGAACACCATGAAGGTATATATAATTAATAATTTTATTATATATTTATAGCGTAACTTCTATGTCACGCTTCTACGTAGAATAGAATATTTTTCTCTCTGTTTTTATTGTTGGAATATAAAAGTTTTACTTGAGTCCTTCATGACGTTCAAATCTCATGGACGATAAAGATTGGAACAAGATATTTTTGTATTCTTTGTGTATATTTCTTCTTTATATATTTACGAGAAATAAAAATAAATATATTATTTATTAAACACAGTAGGGAATAATAACTAATTTAATTATGCCTTACTTTCTCTTCCTCATATATTTTTCAAGTAGTTTGGTTTCTATATGCTTCTAAGATTAAATGTTATATAAACCGATATGAGAAAGCAACATTTAGAAATTTTCTTCGCGATATACATTTGAAATATAAAATATTTTACTGTCAGGTAATAAGGTTTCAAATAATTTATTGAATAAAGAAAAGCGCTAATAATTATTAATTATATTTATTTTTATACCGAGTAAGTCAATTTTTATTCTAATTTTTCATAGTCTGTCCATCGTTATTTATTGATAATTTGATTTTATATTTTGTTTAAATACATTTAATAATCTGAAATCCAATCGCTACACGGAGAAAATTTTATATTAAATTTTACTATGCTGTCGCACCAACTGCGGACCATCAAGACGCACAAGTTTAAATGCTATAGTCTTATAGTAAAATTATTATGTCCATAGCATTTAGTGCTACGATCATAGCATTTAATGCTATAATTATAGCTATGTTATGGACATAGTAATTTTATTATAAGACTGTAGCATTTAAACTTGTGCGTCTTGATGGTCCGCAGCTAGTGCGACACCATAGTAATATTTACTATAAATTTTTCTCCGTGTATCTTTAATGACGTCAGATTTCTTGGAAATAGATTGAAATATAATTATATATTGAATCGTTTGTGTCTTTTGATAAAAAACTTTATTTATTTTATATGATAAGCCACTTTTCGATATGATATCTATGTAACAATTATAAATACGGGTTAAAAGCCTTATATCCAAGAAATGCCGAGAGAAATGCCGAAATTAAATAGTACCCAATATTGGTGTGAGGTAAGTCTCTGAAGCCAGCGTTGGAAAATTTAGATCTTCGACAAATATTAGCTCATGACAGTCGTGACGGACGATCAGTGTTCCTCCTCTGATTACGCAGCATTTCGTCTCGGACGACGACGAAAGATAGAACCGTCGATGAAAATGTGTATACGCTCAAACGCGCGGCGCTCAAATTTCGGAAGCAGGTGGTTAAAGCGTTTGAGCCGGTAAGCGAACCCGGCTTCCTCTCTACCTTCGGGCGCGGTAACCACTCGATCACGAACGACCGGCACAAAGGCTTCTGGCTTATTCCGCCGAGCGAACCATCGTCTTAAAGGACGGGTTTCTCACATGAAGAAACTCGACGGTCTTAGTTTTTTCGATTATAGATCAGGTAGAATAGTTGCAGTAACGTCACGAAGGGAGATACGAGTTTTTTTTTTAATTACGTGATAAATTAATCGATGCAAATTGAGATGTAGAATTAAAATATATAAAATCGTTTTTATTTAACAAATAATGCATCCGCGTATTATACATGAGTTCTTTCCTAGAACAAATCTTACATTAAAATTTTATTTACATTAATACTAAAATCGTGCGATACATGTTGGGATCATCCGTGTTTGTCTCGACTTGATAAGTATCTTACGAGTGGACGCGTCTGGAACCGGCTTAAGAATGATACGCATACATTCTCGTGCATTGTTTCAAAACTTGACGAAGAACCGAAGAGCGATCATTGCGCTTTTTTCTGAAAGCAACCGAAAGAATTGACGTTAATTATCCGTTCATAAATCGTAGTGGACATTCCGGGCGGCTAATTGCGCAGCTTTGCTCAAACTGACATTGCGTATGCATAATTATGTAAATATTTCGTACGGTTCCTTCTTTCGAGCGCTTCCTCCTCCTCCTCCTCCGTGAGATCGTGAAGCTCCTTTGTCCCGCGGGCACGGTCGATTCCAATAATTACGCAAGCAAGAACAAGAGAACAAATCGTGGAACGCATCGGCGCGCGCGTCGGCTTTTCCAATCTATTCGTCGGTCGACTGATTGTTATCGGGCTTTATTCGGGAGTTAGGCATTTTGTACGAAGCGCCGGTCCGGTCCAAATTAATGTCCGGCTCAGGGCTAGGACCGGTCAGAAACTGCTCCCTCTCTCCCGCTCCCGCTTCGTTCGTCGGGTTATTAGTACGGCCCATTGTCCACGATTGCCGTAGCCTGGGACGGTGATCCATAACCATCGTTGCTGGGAACACGAAGGATGTGCCGCGTCCGCGGGCGGAGGGCTACGTTTACACCGCGAGCGAAGGTCGACTCCCGTTGTGGGCGAGTGTGTAACCCGACGTTACCTGTTTGCCTGCACCGGTATATATATCCGGCCGGTGCTCTGCGGTCGTGCGTCCGGATGGACGGAGAAACGTATATCGAACGTATTAAATGTGCAAAACGCGAGGCACAGGATGCTGCGTAATTTTCATCCTCTCGCCGCGTCCACCCGGGGAATCGTCTGCGTGACTCCGGACGATTACGTGCCGTTTCGTACGTTTCGAGGATACGGCGTTATTTTAATCGTGTTCGCCGGATGTCGCAAAACGGTCGCGTTATTCGACACGACGCGCCTTCGGGATATATTCTTTTCTCCTTTGAAATAAATCGGCACGTCGTCATTGTAGCGCGCGGATACATTCGGCGCATCGGTTCACCCTGTCCTGCCCGCTCCGGTTCCCTTGCCTTCGTACGTCGTTGTCGCCGCCGATGCCGCGATGTAGCAACCTTGTCACGCAGGGGTATTAAATAATTAAATGCATTAACCGGTCGATCGTGTTTGCGCCAAGTTCGCGCGGTCCTCTGTCTTGTTTGGCGTATCGCTAATATGTCTTGCGTGATATTGATTAATGGATATTGGGCGCGCGTTTGGGCGGTGTGTCCTAAGTTGCGGACTACATATTTTTTAGTACGATTACTCTTAGAGCGATAGGGAGAAAAATTACGTACATAACACATTTGAAAGAAGTACAAAACTGTGTTGACCTTTTGTAAACAAATATCTTACACGTTGCTGAAAGAATGAACTTGCTGTTCTTATATAAAGTTGATGGATTATCCGGTCTGACAGTAACCAGACATCGCAGGTAGTATAGGATCGTATCGAAATTAGTGACGCGCATCGTCGATTCCACACACGGACATTACCGCGATTATGTAAGTTGATATTAGAGATCGAAAGTTCCTTGTCGTGGGTCAGTGAGAGAAAAGTCATTGATACCTTTCACCAACCGTTGACACACTCGTTTGAGATGGTCAACGGCGCGCTTCTTGTACAAATATCGCGTACAAGTGCTGCTCGTTCCACGTGACCGAAATAGACAAGGAATAAGCGCATACTTAAGTCTCTCAATAATTCGCCCTTTACTCGTTCCAATTTAATTCAAGATATAAAAATTCGAAAATTGTTTCTACAATGTTATTAAATATAAAGGTAATAATAGCGATGTAACTTTTCAACTTTAATAAATTGAACTAGGGCCTCTCCGTTGGGTTTTGTGCGTAGACGCCTCCATATGTAGAGAAAATTTCTCTTTTTCTCCGGGACTACTTTTACTGTTATCATCCACAGGGGTTCATTATTCCTAGAGGTTTCGATAATGTTGCATCAAGGCTGTAATTGCTATTACGCCTTTGTGCTAAGCAAAGAGAGCCGAGGTAAGCCTATAGCTCTCTTAATGACTGGTTGTTTAAAAATAAAAACGTGGCGAAGGTCACTGACATCGAAGTGTGACGAATCTGTGAACGCGGCGAACGGCCAACCTTGGATGCTGACAAAGTGTGAGAAAGCAGCTGGAGTTCGTCGATCTCGAAGAATCGCGCGGCTTCGTTAACCCTGAACGAATAACGAGGTGATTGTGACACCTCGAACCGTATGGGGTACGTAACACCCCTGGCTGAAATCTCGGTTGAATTCGCGATGAAAGACTGTTTGAGAATAACTAAAGACTCCGTTAAGAAATAATGATTTATTAATTACATCTAATTAGATAGACAAATAGTGCGGATATAATTGACTAATAATCGTTATTTAATGATAAGGCGACGATTATTAAGTTAGTAGACAACGTGGGAGGTTAACGATCGATCGTTCAATATTTCACGAGAGACGCGATTCGAATTGCGAATTGGCTTACACGCGAGGTGCGTAACGCAACCTATACGTAATATTTATTCGAAATTAATGAACGCGGCTTTCGTTAAGTTTTCGCGCGGTAGTCGGAAACAGGTGAGCCCGCGTTCCGGCTGACATTGTTGATGTACGCCCTTTGAATCGTGCAATCATTCAAGATTCAATGCCTGTAATTCACGGAGCCGGGACGTGTGAGCGCTTAATGTTAAGCTATGCTAATGGAATGCGTTTCGAGCTTCCTACACTGTCGGCGCGGCGACGAGGAGAAATATCGCCGCATTATGCGTATATATTTCGCATACTGCGCACCGT